TTTGTAGGATCAATTTGATCTACAAGGCAATCCGAGTGATGTAGCAAGGACTTTAAACACACAGTTTGGTCGGCGATTGAGTAGCTTCACCTATAGTTTGCACAAACAATACAAGCAACTTAAGGATGCAAGAGGGGAGGAGTACGCAAGAAGCCACCCACCTGCAAGTGTTACTCTTAATCAATGGGCATCTCTAATTGACAAGAAGTGGAATAGTAAAGAATTCATGGTATAATGTTTTATGTTAATAGTCAAAAATTAATTTTCTTCTTACTAATGTTAAGTTTTGTTATTTTTATTAGTGTTTCAATCGTATAGGAACAATCACTAACTAATGTGAATAGTAGGATGCAAATGAAAACAAAACATAGATGTGGATCAAAATCAATCCCGGTCAGAGTGCATAGCTCGGTGTGTTCTGCTATTTTATTTTAACGGATTAGTAGGCTTTGTTATTTAAATATTTGAAATAACATTCAAAAACAAATGAATCAAATAATTGCAAATGGAGAAGTGCCTGATTTGGCAAAATTTTACAAGTCCATCCACTATAATTCGAACACGGATGAATGGATTTCGTCAGAGAGCCAAGCTAATTATGTATGTACAAGGCAATGCATGTTAATTTTGATAAAAATATTTATTTTCTTTGTAGGGTAGAATAACTAATAATTATTCAATTTATTTTAAATTAACAGGATAACATAATACAGACGCAAGCAAAACACCTCTCGCAGACTGGTGTGATCCCCTTGAGCCTAGAGGAGTTTTCAGTAAAGGTGCTTAAGCCAAGGTCAGGATGTGAAAGGACTCGGCTTGAGGCCTTCTTCTTCTATGAAGACTACTGTTGCACCTACTGAAAATAATAACTATGTTCAACGCCTTGAGATGCAAATAGCACATCAAAATGAACAAATTGCAAGGTTTCAAAAGTCAGAGAAGAAACAAAGCAAGAAGATACAGAGTATCATACAGTGTTTGACGCAGAAAGGTATCACGAGAAATTTTGAGAGTGGGGAAAGTTCAGATTCTGATGGACAAGCTCCTTGGTTAGTATATTATGTTTATATGTTAATTTAGTAGAACATTTCTTCTTCAACTAGGGTAGAATAAAAAATTACTTTTGACATTTAGGCACAAGGTTTCTGGAAAAATAGTGAAATATGCATCTAAAGGCCCGAAAAACATCACAAACACCTTGAGATTATCAGAAATTATCATGAACACTTTGGGGGGATCAACATAAGTTATGAAAACTTACTGAACAATCATAGGACTCTCGGTTGGAAAACATTTAGGTTTGAAAATAAGCTGTTAGGGAGTAAAATCTTGAAGTAGTCGTTAAAAGGCCAAGAAATATCATGAACACCTTAGGAGGAACTAATGTAAGTTGTAAAAAATTACGGAACAAGTACGTTAAAATTTGGTTTAAAATTTACTTTGAAATTTTTATTTTTTCTCTTCTGGGTTGCATATTAACGTATTTGAATTGTTACCTTAACCTTTTATTGTTGTTGTCATTTTTTTTTTTTTTTTCTTTTTTAAATGGCAGATTGAAGATGAACGAATTTGGTAACCCGCATAGCAAGAGTTTTTTGTTGATATTACCGGATACATCCATCACAGTGTAGTTGTACTTTTTGTTGATATTACCAAACATGTATTTTGACTATGTTGTTATGGGTTATGATTATATTGTGATGGATCTTATCTTTTTGTTGATATTTTATTGAATAGATTAAAATGAACAGGTTTTTGTTGATATTACCAAATGAACATGTTTTTGTAATGATTTGTAATGGATATTATATTCAACATGTTATTAAAATGCACAAGTTATTTTAATTGTGTTGTAGTTTTTGATTTTATTAGAATAGATGTATTTTACTAGAATAGATGTTATAGTTTGGATGTTATATATTAATTTTTTGATACTATGAGACATGTATTTTGCTTGGGTTGTTTTATGATAATGAACAGTTTAATTTTATATTGATTTGTATTAGATATTTTATTTAATAGATTATATATTAAAATATACAGGTATTGTTTATTGAAAAAAATATATAAATTGCAAATACAACCCTCCCCCAATTTTTAAAATTTATTTATTATTTGGTGACGAAAAAAAATTGACACTAAAACTTTCTAATCCCAACAAATAATTTCATCACACATTCACTATTTCATCACTAAATTAAAATATTTGTTGAGAAAAGTTTTCGTCATTCAAGGGTCTTTTTTTTTTTTCCATCTTTTGGTGACAATATTTTCGTCACTAAAAATTCTATCGTTATTTTTAATGACGAAATATTTTGTCACCCAAAACAAATATAATAAAATGTTATTTAATTTTAGTGACGAAATGGACGTTATAGGTGACAAAATATTTAACATTTAGTGACGAAATATTTCGTCACCTAATACCAATAATAGGTGAAAAAATAAAATTTCGTCATTAGGTACTTTTAGTGATGACGAATTGATGACGAATGCGGTGACAAAATTATTTTGTCACGGATCAATTTGGTGACGAAAATTTCACTATTGGAGACGAGCTGATTTTGTCATTAAAGAACAATTTTGTTGTACTGTATCAGAGACTCCAAATAATTTATTAAATTTTTTATCAAACCTCTCACATAAGTGTAAAATCCATACATATATGAGTTTGTGTGCATCCCACACTTATGAGAAAAATTAGTAAAAATTTAATAAAGAAAAATGTTTGGTGGCCACAATATTCGCAGCTCAAATGGCTCGAATTGACCAAAACGACGTCGTTTTGTATTATTTTGTGTCCAAAACGACGTCGTTTTGGTTAATTCGAACCATTCGAGCCTGAAAAATTTGAACCCTCTATCATTACTGTTTAATAAATTATTTAAGATATATAGCATTTAATACATGCCATGGAAAAAACCGTTAAAAGTTAAAAGGGCGGTACGTGAATAATAATGATTGCTTTGATTCTTTAAAAACAATGATAACCAACCTCTATACCCATACTTAACTTGAGTGATACTCTACATCATCATCAGTGGTCCAATATGAGAGAAACATGACTACCTATGCATATCTTTTGTGTCTATTTCAATTCCAAAGCATGGGTTTTCCCAAAGGCAGTTGATCAGCTTATGTCCAAAACCTGTTTCACAACTTTTCTGGCGAAACAAACATGCGAAGTTGCCAGTGAATCCTTAGTCCACCTCACTATCAATCTCAATCTTTTTCTTATAATCCTAAACATACCCAATCTTTTCCCTATAATCCAAACATACGGGGCCTACGCCCCGTTTGTTCTTTTTATACATATGTTCTCTCTCTATATACATATGTTCTTTTTTTCTTTTTTCTATATTTTAATTTTCTTATACTTAACTTTTTGTTGCGCAGGCTTAAGTTTGCTTGAGCTTGTTGTCCGACTTTTGATGATAGTGTAAGGTAACATAGATTATCATTTAGTAGCTCCTGGTTGAGAGAGAGAATGGTCCACCTCAGTTCCACATGGTTTGATACCCCATAGATTAGCCAACCACCAATACAAAAATATAAACTTAAAAAAGTATTATAAAGACATACCTAACTATAGAGCTAAAACAAACAAGTAAACGATTTGAGTAACGACCAAAAAAAATTTGATGCCTATTTATTTTATAATGTAAAACATATATTCCAGAGGATTTAGAAATTTTAATATTTAATGCTGTTTTGATAATTCAAAATGTAGCTAACCTATAAATTAATTATAACAGATTTTAAAAAAAACAATAATGTTAGGTATCATGAAAAATCTTTTATAAAAATAATCATGAAAGTTTTGTGACCCTTAAATTATACTTAGAATAAAACACCACACACTAATCAAGGTAATTCAAGAATTATAAATCTTTCATGATCCCTAACTTTTCTCTTAAAAAAATAAAGTCACGGAATAAATTTCAACAATAAATTTTATTCCATGTTAATATAGCATTACAATTATAATGTGGGAGCGAGGAACCTAATTTGTTAGGCCATCCTACTCAAATGCTTTTGTATATTGAATTTATGAATAATTTATCATAAATCAAACATGGCACAACAAGTTTAACACCAAAAAGTAATAATCAAAAAAAATGTGTCCACAGAGAAAACTAAACACAATAGCCTCATTCTAGCACAAAGAGAAAAAATAAATAAATAGAATAAGATAAAGGGATAAACCGAAAAGTGATGGGGGTCGAAAAAGAAAGCAACATGCCAGCCTCATGGCTTGCCTTTTTCGTGCTTTTTTGTGCTAAAAAAAATTAAGATTTTACAAATTAAAATTTAAAGATAAAATTATTTTTTAGAGATCAAATATTTTTATTGCGGTAAGTATTATTATTATATTTTTAGCAACAAAAATTGGACTTTAGTAATGAATTATTGTCCTTTTGAGATCAAATTTTGTTATCTCAAAAAATAAACTATTTTGAGACCAAATTATTGTCCCTAAAAGTCTATTTATTAGTTATATTTTCAAAATTTTGTCCTTAAAAGTCTTATTTTTGACTTTTCGTAACGATTTTTTAGTGACTATCATTATGACGATAAAAATTGATCTCTAAATATCTTTTATAATAAAATTTTTACTTTTAAAAATCAAAACATTTGATTTCTAAAACTTTTATATATTGTAGTGTTGATATTCCCTAAACAAACCCTTAAAATCATAGTTATTAAATCTAGTTCTTAGACAACTAGGCCCCCATAAATGAAAGAAATCATAAAAATCCTCAGATCATATCATAGATTAAGAAGGACCAACCGACCGTTGGATGTGGATAGTTTTATTAAGGGCAACCCGCCAATCAAGCAAAAGCGTGATTTACAAACCTCCACAACCACAACCCCCCCATGTGCCAAGCCTCCCATGAAATCAGCACAAGAAAACTCCACCCACATTCTAACCCATCTCATATATCATATGATATGTGTCCCAATCTTACAAGTCTTTTATTGTTTTTTAATGTAAATTGTTGTTACACTTAGACGCCTTGTATTATTTAGTGTTTTCTTTTTTCTTTTCTTTTTTTGTCCTAGTGTATGCTCTCAACTATTATATAACCAGCTAACTCTAACAACCTCTCTCCCCCACACTAGACTTTTGGAGGTATTTCAGATTGAGAGAGAAAGATGTTGAAGTTGAGATCAAAGAGGTTTTCCAGGAGCAACTCCAAGCTTGGAAGCGGGGCCAACGGTGGCAGTGTTGGAGGGGCTCGAAAAGGTGGAGGGGGTGGTGGTGAAATCAAATGGGAACTACGTCCCGGTGGCATGCTTGTTCAGAAGAGAGAGACTGGAGAGGGTGAGGGCGAAGGATTGATTACACTCAGAGTCTCAACTGTTTCTCAGTGGCATAATATCACCATCCAAGCAACTTCAACATTTGGTAAGCCCATATACATTACACCTTTAATTTGATTAGAAAAAAAACATTATTGTATACTCATTATCATGGTTTTGAAATAGACAAATTGGTATCACGTATAATGCAACGGTATTGCAATCATTGAGTGATATATATTGGGAATTGATGTCTAGGACATGAATATTTTTCAAATCATCTGCTGTAAAAGAGCATATACATATCAAAAACAAACTGAGACAAATATAATTTTTATTCCAATTGGTATATCATCAGGGTGTATCAGTATTGGAAGGACAAAAATCCAATATGTATCTTGCGATATTTAAGACCATGATGTTCATTGCCTTTGATATTAAAAAAAAGGCACAATTTCAGATTAATTTGTAATCCTAATTCTTGTTCAATGATGAAGTCCCAAAAATGTTTTTGAACCTTCAAATTAATTAAAATTTGTTTTTCTTACAGGAGAACTGAAGATAATATTGTCATTGGTAACTAGTTTGGAGCCAAGAGAGCAAAGGCTATTGTTCAAAGGAAAGGAGAGAGAAGATTGTGAATACTTACACATGGTTGGGGTTACAGACAAGGACAAGGTGCTGTTGTTGGAAGATCCAGCTATCAAGGAGAGGAAACTCCTTGGCTTGTCCAGAGTTCAAGCCAATATTGGGAGTCCTTATCACCCCATTAGTGTATAACACTTAATCAAATGAACACATTATTGTTCTCTACTAACCCCAATTTAAAAACACAAAAGGGTTTTTTGTGGTGATGAGAGTTTCACCACTTGGTTATTAGAATTAGATTATATAGGGGTCTATGATTTTGTATTTTATTTTGTTATCGGTTGGGGACATATTAAGAGTGCAAGTTAATGCACTACTGTATTATTTTAAATAGTTTACGTTATAAAATGTCGATTAATAATGCATAAATAAACACACGCGCGTGCACGTAAACACCAAAGAAAATTCATGAAAAGTATAAAGGGTTCCCAAAAGCGAGGTCACACATCTTTCTACAAATTTAGAATGCCTAGATAGGTTAAAATAAATAAATAAATAAGATTCATCTTGTTTGTAGTAGTTCCTTTCCATGGTTGACATAATGGGTTCATTTTTTAGTTGTCTTTTAGATACAAACAATAATTCAAAGTTAGAAGTAATTCAACTTTTTCACTAACAAAAAATAATCTTTTTGATAAATTTTTAACGCATTAAATTTTTTAAATCTTCAAAAAAAAAAAAAAAAAAAACTAAAATAGTCAATACCAAATGGGCTCTAAATCCATTATATATATATATATATATATTTTGTTGTAAAAATATATCTCTCTTCTCATGCTGTTAATGATCTTGGTTAAATTTAATTTTCACTTTGTTCAACAAAAAAAAAATAATTAATTAATTTTCGCTCATAGGTGGACAGCAGTAGCCCAATAAGGCCCAACAAATAGTTTCGGCGATTGTGGCGTTATTATTCCACCCAGCCCAAACCCTTTTTGTGAATAAGGTCCAAAAAATAGAAATGATTCCAAACCTTCAATGAGGCCCAAAAAATAATTCAAAAATGTAATACAAGGCTGTCCATTAACACGATTGACCTTTACAATTTGTGAGTTTTAAACAATCTAGTGACGGTCAAAGCCTGCGGGTTTCTAAAGATGGGGTATCTTTGGAGTTTAGGGATTCCGCAATTCGGCCCAAATAGAAATTATACTATAAAAAAAACGAAAAACCAATTTGGATTAAAAAAATCTAATAAGAATTTGGATAATATATAGAATTTTTTTTTTAATAAATCAGAAAAAGGTAAATGTTTTCCAATAAAAAGTGGTGATGGTGTTTTACAATTAAAAGTCAAGTATTTTATCTTAAAATAATTAACTCCAGCTAAACAAAAATATCAATATTGCAATTTGCAAGGCAAAATAATAACTACAAAAAAAAGGTGATTATTTTTTTTCTTATAAGTGAAAGAAAGTGATAAATTTTGTTTATTAACCTTACATGAAAATATATACCATGACACACATAACAATGACAATAAAAGATTTCAAAAAAAACACACACCCTAGCTTCTTATTTGACAATACAAACTTTTATTTTAAACATAATTCTCTCATTATTGGGACTCAACCCTTGATTTCTTCAATCTCAATCACCTTCTTTTCTGGTTTCTTCACCTCTTGTTTAGCAACACTCACAATCAACACACCATTCTCCATTGATGCCTTGACTTCATCGGCTTTCGCATTCTCAGGCAGTTTAAGCCTCCTGCAAAACTTACCCCGAAACCGCTCAACACGGTGCCACTTACCATTCTTCTCATCCTCCTCACCCACATTCCTCTCTCCACTTATCTGCAACACCCCATCATCCACACCCACCTTCACATCCTCCTTCTTGAGCCCCGGAAGCTCAACCATGAAAACATGGGCTTCCGGGGTCTCTTTCCAGTCTACTGGTGTACTCAAAACTGGGCACATATTAACCATAGAAATGAAAGGGTAAGTGTTGTTGAACAAACCGGTTATGATGGAAGACATGTCGTTTGTGCTACAAGAATGTTAATTGAGATCGACTATATGAAAGTGTTTGATCAAGTTTGAGTGAGTGATTGAGTGGTGAAACTGTTTTAGAGTTATGCATGTATTTATAGGGGAATTGGGATTGTATCTTGAACTTTCTTGGGTGTTCTTTGTGATTAAAATATGCATTGCGATATAGTACTGTTTTGCGGTGATGTTCTACGACCTTCATTTAGGTGCAACGCTAGAACATTCTCTTACATGACCAATAATGACGATGCATTATCCCCTTTACTTTTATTGTTATTATTTTTTATACAAAATAAAAAAAGAAAAGAAAAAGGATCTTCTTGAAGTTTCTTTACGAAAATTGAAGTGGATGGATGTATAGTCAATCACAAGGCTAATCCATATGTTTGTGTCCGGCAGCAATTATTTTGATGATTTAAATTGTTGGAAAAAAAAATTAATTTGAATAAATTATTGCATCACATTTGTATGAAAAATAAATAAATAATTTATTTTTAAATCCATCCATCCATCCATTTATTATTATTATTATTTTGCATATAAATGTTATGATTGTGTTTACAATTATTAGATTAATAAGATTTTTTTATGTTTGCGCAGAGAATTATGAGTAAACGAATATGAAATGAAAATGAAGTCTAATGAACCCATTGGGCTGGACTGTACAATCTAGTCCACAAGTTCATCTCTAACAATTATGCAGTCCAGCCCAATCCTTTAAATGTTTACATTATGTTGATATGTTTTATTGATTGAATAATTTCGCTCATATATATATATATATATATATATGGTGTGTGCTTGTCAATGTGTTTGCAATTTAGATAAGTAACAATAAAAATAAATAATAAATAAATTAGTCATGATATGTATGTTACCTAAGTGGGAAGAGTATTTAATGAAATCTAAAATCTTAAATTCAAATCTTGCTCACTCATTTGAATAACAATTTTTATTTGAGGACATAAAAATTTGTCACGTGACAAAAGGGGAAGCCATCAAACATTGTTATGGGTTGAGTTTTTTATTATTTTAACCTATGACTAAAAAGTCTCGTTTGTGATTGATTTTTTTAATTTTTTGTGAGAGAAACAATGAAATGATTATGATTTGAATATGACATTTTATCTTATTAATTTTTTAACTTATTTTATCTTTTTATAATTATTTTAATCTAGAAAATTTATTCCAAACATAGCCTTGGACAGTAAAGTCCATTGCTTACTGAGAGGGAGAATTATGAGCCGGTTATAGGCCGAGTTAGAGGCCAAGCAAATTGGAGGCCCAATGATGCGTTGGGTCGCGATAACTTTTGATTTGCCCGGAGTTGGGGCTGCTCAGAGATGGACCGAGCCACTTGGATTTGCGCAGGTGATAACCGCACAACTTGCATTGCTCAGTCAAGGGCTCGCATCGTTAGCCCGGTCGAGAAACTTGTGCCAGAAGCCCGGCTGGATGGCCTTTGGTTGACCCGTACAACCAGTCTGAAGGTCAGCTCCGCCGGAATGCTGCCGAGCATGGCTGGAAATGATCTCAGTTCTTAGAGCAATTGGGCATGGAACACAGCATGGCCGTCGACAGCCGAGAAGATTCAGCCCAGCTGCCGAGCTCCTAGTAGAGTGGGCTAGCAGTCGGGTTAGGTGATGTTCAGTAAGATTTGTGCTGACAGATGGGATAGCAGAACCACGTGTCGAGAAATCACTAGGAGTAGGTTTGGGGCACAAAAGGTATATAAGCAAGTCTGTGCCCCCCATGCCGGGGGGACGAACATTTGGTGGGACATACACTAAACACTCAACACTCTCCCTTCTCTCTATTTACCCTCAGGTGTGTGCTAACTTGATCGTCGGAGGGGTTTTCCGGCCACACACCGCCGGGTAGCTCACCGTCGTTGCGCGTGCAGGTAATCGGATAAAAACGGAGCTCGGAAGCAAGGAGTGCGGGCTCGCCTGAATATTTGCTCCCCGCACTATTGGCGCCGTCTGTGGGAATTCGACAGACAAAACCTTGTCTTCCAAGCTCATCTGATCGCCATGGCGAACATCGACGAGATTCCACTGTCCGCCGTCGACGGAGTTACCCCGGAGTCGAGCAGACGGAGAGAAGGACATCCCACCATCATTCCTCCGATGGCGGACCTGGAGATTTCTCCAGGAGGACATTCAAGAGATGCGCGGGATAAGCGCGGAAGAAGTTATGGTCATTCACGGAGTCCAGACGGTCATCGGCGGCGGAGAGAATCACATGCCAGACATCTAGAACACAAGTTAAGGGACCAGGATGCCGTCATCCGGTGAATGGCGGCGGAGATGGAGGAGCTGAAGCGGCATGTCAAAGGAAAGGGTGTAGCTGGAGAGGGAGACCACAGTGAGCGCACCCAACCTCGCCGTTCAAGCAGTCAGAGCCAGTGGCGTACATCGTCCATCTCAATCACCAGAAGTTACAAGGTTGGAGATTCCGACGCGCACGAAGAGAAATCCAGCGCGCAAGATAGTACCTACCGATCCTCACGTCCGGCGAGGACGTCGAGGTACTCTTATTCTGCTCATTCAGAAGATTTGCGGGCAGTTTTGAAGGAGCGGGCTCGCTGGCGAGAGGCTCAAAGGGTGCCGGCGTTCCAGCGGCTATCCTATGGGGTTCACGCCAGCGAGGAGGTCGGAATGCCTCTACCCCGCCCAGCCGCGCCTCTCCTTGTAGATACAGACTTGGCAAGGCTAAGTGCCACTCCATTCTCCATGGATATTGAGACCGCACCGCTTCCGGCGGGCTTCCACCAGCCAAAGTTCACACTTTATGATGGAAAAATCGACCCGTATATGCATATAAGTCATTTCCGGCAGGTCATAGCCGGACATAGGCGGAATGACGCTCTTATGTGCTTGATCTTCCCGTCGAGTTTGGGCGAGCTGGGTTTGAAATGGTTCGAGAGGCTACCGAAGGGGAGCATTGAAAGGTGGCATCAGTTGGCCGAAGCCTTCGTGACGCGCTTCAAAACCAACACCAAAACACCAAAGGAAGTTGATCACCTCCTGAGTGTCAAGATAGAACCGAGCGACACGTTGAAGGCATACAACTCCAGCTATTGGGAGACCTTCAACGAGATTTTGGATTGCCCAACCAACCTTGCAATCACACAATACAAGCGAGGTCTCCCGGTCGGACATAGACTGTGGGACTCGCTTACCATGCACCAGTTGACATCCATGGGACAGCTAATGCAGCGCATCAATGAGCACATCCAAGTGGAGGATGATGCGTCAGCATCTACCGTGAAGGCAACTCCGGTAGCAACAGACAAGCGGTCAGCTGGCAAAGTGCACGTGGTCGGGTAGGAGGCCGGCCGATCCAGCGACCACGCTGAGGACTCGGACCGTGGCACTAATCGTAAAAACCGCGGTAGGGGACGTCGGAATGACCGGGATGACTACCCCCGGGATAACGTAGCCGATGCTAACAGAAGGTTGAAAGCAAGGACAGGCATCACCACGGTCTTTAAGATTCCAATCTATCGCATACTTAGTGAAATCCGTGACGAGGAGTATGTCTGGTTTCCTGCTAAGTTAGGCGATGGACAGAAGGGCTTCAATCCGCGGTACCGTTGCACGTTTCACCGAGAGCGAGGC